GGATATTGTCAAAAGGTGGAAAAACTGGTGGCATGAAATGTTCAAGAGTTCCCATGTTTTCCTAACAGATACATATTGATCTCAGTAAAAGCACTAGTTTATAAAGAAAAACTTTGTTCTTATTATGTATAGGGCCATCAACGTTTGTAGACATAAGAAAAACTTCCGACAATATTAGCCGTGACTCAACAAGACATTTCATTGCCATCGATATGACCCAGAAAGTCGTAAACTAGTTGACTCACTAACCCAAAGCGAAGTAATTTTTGCATTGTATTGTCACCGGCGATGAAAATGCCTTCGGCGAGGCCAGAAGGTAATCCTGCTTCGTAAGCTTCTGAAAAGTTGTCAGGCGATCGACGGGGTTCTCTGCAGGCAGTAATTGATACGACTGATACTGGCCGAAATGTTCAATCAAACATGAGTCATTGATCTTCTACTATGACGAATCTCAGCCACATGTCCAACAAGTGGTCAAAACTTACCTCGATGGTACCGAATGGGAAGTTCTAATCAACCCGCCTTATAGCTCAGACCTTGCACCATCAGTCTACTATTTCTCCCGGTCGATGCGGAACGCCCTTACGGAAACACTTGAAGGTATGAAAAATTGGCTTAATACTTGCTTGGTCTGCACAAGAACGAACAAATTCAATGGCGCTGAATTCATACGTTGCCAGAAAAGTGGGAAAAATTTATAACTAGCGATGGGTAATGATTTCAATAACATGCGCTGTACCAAGTTTGCACAATAAAGCTTCAAACTCGAAAAAGAAACATTTAGCTGAACATACTTAGTCTGACCAATCGAGTTTAGGTTCTCAGCAGTCCACAGCAATTTAAACGTTTTAAGGAATGTATGAGCATATACAAGAATAACTTATGAATTATTGCAGGAATTCTGATAGAACACTGCAGGCTGAACTATCACCTGACTAAACTGGGAATTTACTCGCAATAGCGATGCAGATTTTGCAGGGCGGATATCGAAACTTCACAGTACATCTAAGAAAGGTGTCCTGCACTGATGTACAAACACAAAAAATAACCGGGTGAACATTTAACCTGGGTGAACATTTAATAACCGAGGGCGGAGTGAAGTCTTGATATTTATGCTCAATACTAATGTTTCTCGCATAAACTGAGTTCTAAGACTCACTATAAATCCACGAAGGGCACGATAGATCTTAAGATCTCAGTGTTTTATCCGCAACAATAATAATAATAATGTTTGTAAAGTTAATAGAAAAAAATAATCATCTGTCCTCTGTGAAATCTTCCGACATGTTCATTGACACCAAATATTTTATACACATTGCGATCACAAGACTACAGCAAATAAATATCTCCAAAACCTTACGATATGCACCTCCAAAAATAGTACAAGACCAAGGCTGGGATCAGAAGTCGTATTAAATACTTGTAGGACTTTTTTTATATATGAAAAGTTGCAACAACACTAGTCAATTGTGCAAACACTACGAACACTAGGTAAGAAAGCATATGATGCCGCTATGCTAGACCTTTGATAAATGAAATGGAT